GATCTAGGCACACGCAGCGTCTGGAGTAGGCACACGTAGCGCTTGAAGTAGGCACACACAGTGCCCGGACTAGGCACACACAGCGCCCGGAGTAGGCACACGCAGCGTCTGGAGTAGGTACACGCAGCGTCTGGAGCAGGTACACGCAGCGCTTGAAGTAGGCACACGCAGCGCTTGGAGTAGGCACACACAGCGCCCGGAGTAGGCACACGCAGCGTCTGTTATTGTGTTCTTATGGTTTAAAAACGTTACAGGATCCTATGGAAATAAAGGTGATGCAAAATATCCAGTTTTGAGGCGAATGCAGAAAATCAAAAACAGAATGGAAAAATAAATTCAAAATAGTGTAAAATGATATGTAAGTAGCATAACACTACATTTTCCCCCCGACCCTGGAAAATTTTTGACTCAGCAAAATTTTTGATATGTACATTCTAAAATAAACCATAAAAACACAGCTTTGCAGAAACAGACATCACCAGGCAAAATCAGATATACTATCTCTTACATTCATCGTCTGCATTCAGGTAAGGGTGGAGTTCACATTCAATGACTACCACTCTAAAAGTGTGTTTTCGAAAGGACATTCAGGCTTATTTAAGGAGTTGTCATCCGCTCCTGCGTGGAAAAAAAAATTTCGAAAGGACATCCAGGCTTATTTAAGGAGTTGTCATCCGCTCCTGAGTGAAGATAAAGTTAAAGAAATTAATCTTAAGCAAGCTTTAGTCGCTATGACTTAAGTAAAGATTAAGAACGGGCAGAGCGGTAGGGCTCAAAGCCAGAGATCAGCAACATCACTAAAAGGACATTCAGGCTTATTTAAGAAGTTGTCATCCGCTCCTGAATGAAGATAAAGATAAAGAAATTAATCAGGTAATAATTATACATATATACAAACATATATACAAATATACAAACATATATACAAATGTAGTGTCATGCAAAACAGTATTAGCTGGTTCCTCACATCTAATCTTCACTTCGTATTCGAGTTCGGCCTTGTTAAGGAATTCGTACTTAATAACCCTTTTCATTGTTATAATTAAGTACAAAGTTAAGTTTAAGAATAAAAATATTAAAGTGATGAATGTAAGTGAAGTGTTATATGTAGGTCTAAATACAATCCAGATAAGTTGAAAAACTAGATGAAGTTTTGTTTTAGAATTTGGAAGATATGATAAGGATGAGTAAATAAAGAGTTAAGAACGAAAGAGAAAGCAATTAAATCAAAAGGAAATGGATAAGGCGTAGTTAAGGTGAAGAAAAGAGAAAAAAATTAGGCGAGAAAGAGAACTTTTACGTTGGGGCACAAAATATCGTGAAGCGACAGTTAAAAACTAAAAAACCTAACCTAATAACAATGAAACAACAAAAAAAAAGAATAATTTATTTTAAAAAAGATAAAAATATATGAAAATGATGATGGGGTTTCAAACTAGAAGCATCACGGAGTATGCACAGGCTATGCCTGTGGTAGGTGCGCAGCGCCTGATCTAGGCACACGCAGCGTCTGGAGTAGGCACACGTAGCGCTTGAAGTAGGCACACACAGTGTCCGGACTAGGCACACACAGCGCCCAGAGTAGGCACACGCAGCGTCTGGAGTAGGTACACGCAGCGTCTGGAGCAGGTACACGCAGCGCTTGAAGTAGGCATACGCAGCGCTCGGAGTAGGCACACACAGCGCTCGGAGTAGGCACACGCAGCGTCTGGAGTAGGTACACGCAGCGTCTGGAGCAGGTGGAGGCGTAGGCGTGGCTAGGCGACGACTTCAGGTGAAGGCAGAGGCTTGCAGGATCCCGGGGCAGTGCGGCCCCGGGATAAGGCCTTTAGGAGATGCTTCTAGTATGAAAGCTGAAGCGAGACTTTTTCTTATTGGCCGATTGTTCGGCTTTTATACTTTTTGACGGATCTGGGATAAGAACGGGAAATTATTTAAATTAAATTTGAAATTATTTAAATTAAAAGCAAATTTTTGTAAATGACCAAAAGGAAAAGAGTATTTATGTGAAAGTATGGAGTAAAAACATCAGACCGGTAACGAATTTCGAATAAAAATTGCCATGACAACCAGATAAAAAACGATGTCAAAACATGTCAAATTTTGGTTTTAGGCTCGTAATAGAGAAACGGCAAGATTTAAGTGAAAAATGGGATATTATTGATATAGGAAAAAAGGTAGCGCAACAGTGCGCACGAAGCCCGAAATTGCAGAGTTACGAAGAACTAAATAAAAAACCGAAAAAGGTAGACTCCATTGACACCGATTTAAAAAGTGCTGATAACGTGAAAATACGAAGTGAAAATGATTTGTTATTGTGTTCTTATGGTTAAAAACGTTACAGGATCCTATGGAAATAAAGGTGATGCAAAATATCCAGTTTTGAGGCGAATGCAGAAAATCAAAAACAGAATGGAAAAATAAATTTAAAATAGTGTAAAATGATATGTAAGTAGCATAACACTACAACCATCATTAATGAAAATTATATTCAATAGTTGTTGTTGTAACCATTTGTCAATTAAGGTGTTCTATACCATACAGCCTAGTCTGATGTGTATTTTGTTTCAACTAGAATATCTTTAATTCCTGACTTCCTGCAGTAGTATGACCGAAGAAAAAAATGTTCAGATTTTTAAACTCTATAGTTATTTGTTATTTTGCATTTGTAGACGCAAGAAAAAAAAGTTAACTAAAATTTGTTTGGAAGTTCGCCATTGTATTTTACTTTGACAAAGTAGGAAATTATAAAAAAATAAACTTATTTCATTAATGTCTCATGTATATTAACCAATTTTAAAAGTTTAAAATTAATAAATTGCAAATTTTCAAATAATAAATTTAAAAAAATTAAAGATCCGATTATTTGAATATTTTTGATGATTATTCCCATAACAATGAATTATAATCATACATACACACTAGGGTAAGATACACAGCGATATATCGTTGAAACGACGTCAGGCAATAATAACACTTTATATATATATATATATACATACTATATATATTTATACATATATATATACATATACTTAATAACTTATGATAAATATGCGGTATTATTAACATGAAGCGTCAAAAGATATTTCTTATTTGATTGAGTATATATAGTTGAGTCTTTGAATATTCAACCAATTGGAGAGGCCATGCGCGTTAATTCCTAAATAAAGAAGTCATGTTAATGTCAGGGGGCGCAAGAAAAACACACTACTGTATACTTCACTACAAATGCAAAATTGAATCGCGTCGCTATAAACGCACACTACAGATTTATGTTTGTATTCGTTGCATTGACGCATACCAACAAATTGTACACGTGTCAATACACTGGTGCCGCTGTCTACATGTGTAAGCAACGTAAGGCAAGGACTATGTCGATATTGTTTATCGATAAACAAATCATCATAGTCCGCAAAAGGTCAGCGTTGGTAAAAGTGATTTTTGATATTTTTTTATTCATTGCCTACAGCCCTTCACAAGTCCGCTTCTGAACATGGCATTCCCCAAGGGGTACCACAAAACAAGGCTCTGATCCACTTGCATCCATCGACTTCCTGCATGTCTTACCAGGTCGTCACTCCATCTATTGGGGGGGGGGTAGTCCTGCACTTCACCCACTGGTACGAGGCTGCCACTCTAGAAGCTTTTTCCCCCCATCAGTTGTTGATCCTTCGAACTATATGGCGGGTCCATTGCCACTTCAACTTACTGATCCGTTGGGTTATGTCGGGCTCTCTAGTTCTACTGTGATTATCCTTATTTTTATTTTATCATGCAGAAAACGAGATGTTTATGCTCGGGGCATAACCATCTCCATAGCTCGCTGATAGACTTTGAGCTTCCTCATACGGCCAGCAGTGAAGGGTTTTTTGGTAATATATAAAATTAAAATTTATATATATATAAAATTTTTGGTAATATATTAAATTAGTAAATATAATTATGGCCAGTTTTTGAAAGCCTGATCAAACTCAGATTTTATTTTTAAAATTAATCAAAAAGTTGGCTATGGGTACTTTCCACGTTGTGTTTATACCGAGCAATAAAAACACCAATGCGTCAGTCATGAATTAACCATGAATGGACTTAGGAAACTGGAAACTTAAAACACTAAGACGCAAAAGTTACTATACCAAAGAGACTTAGGGACTGAAAATTTAAAACGCTAAGACGCAAAATTACTATACCAAATATTGGCTAAAATATACTTTGGCTCAATCTATCTTAGTATATTGTATTCCTGTATTGGGTGGAGCTACAAAAACCAAATTTCTAGAAGTTGAAAGAGCACAGAGAAATTTACTAAAAATTATGCATTTTAAACCAAAAAGATTACCCACAGTAGATCTTTATGCCATAAGTAATGTGCAATAAAGTAATCGCCTTGTGCGCTATCTTCAGACCTCCGTCCTATAATAAACAGCTGTTTATAAATGAAATTACAACTTAATGTTGTAGTCGCTGGAGATATGAACATAGATCTAAAATTATCATCAAATATTAGAGATAAGTACTTAAACCTGCTGACAGAGCAGGGACTGTAGTGTGGTATCACCGATTATACACGTATTGAAAGAAGATTAAACTCAGCTACACAATCTTGCATTGATCATATCTTTGTGCGCTCCAGAACAACAGATCCTTGCTCGGCCGCGGTCGATACTGTACTGGCGGCATCGCTTGATCGTGGTTGCGTTATGCAGTATTTATGAATCAAAAAAACTTAACTGTATTGCAAGTAAACAAATACCTATATATGACCCTGTAATATTAGGCGAGGAATTATGTACGGCAGAATGGTCTCATATTGATGGTTTGATACTTTTAGTGATGCATATTCTAGGGTAACGAGAACTATTAATAAAAACTCAGAATCGTATCGACAGGCGCCATGCATTAATAAAAATATTATTAATTAGAGTGATAAACGTGATGAGCTATTTAATAAATGGAAGAAAGACCAAAATAACAAACAATAAAGATTAGAATACAATAAAATGAGAAATAAGGCAAACAAGGTAACTGATTATTACAGAAATTCTTATTATAAAAATAAAATAATTAAAAATGTTGCTAATTCAAGAAAATTATGGCAAATTTTAAACGATATCGCTGGTAGGATTGTAAAATCAATAGATGAGGTTATATTAAATGCCTTTAAATCATTAAATCTTTTCATCATCATCATCATCATTACAGCCCTTCACAAGTCCACTGCTTAACATAGACCTCCCCCAAGTAATGCCACAAAGCACGGTCCTGAGCCACCTGCATCCATTGACTTCCTGCATGTCTTACCAGGTCGTCACTCCATCTAGTAGGGGGTCGCCCACACTACGCCTACTGGTACGAGGCTGCCACTCGAGGACCTTTCTTCCCCATCGGTTATCGGTTCTTCGAGCTATATGACCGGCCCATTGCCACTTCAGCTTACTAATCCGTTGGGTTATGTCGGTTATGTCGGACATTTCTGAGTCTATCACGCAGAGAAACTCCGAGCATAGCCCTATCCATAGCTCGCTGAGCGACCTTGAGCGTCCTCATACGGCCAGCAGTGAAGGACCACGTCTCAGATCCGTATGTCATCACTGGCAACCCTGGTTATACACTTTAGTTTACAGAGAGTACGACACATCTTCTCGTCAGGTGTACCTGACGAGAAGATGTGTCGTAATTTCCCGAACACGGCCCAGCCGAGTTGAATCCGTCGATTGACCTCTCGGTCGAAGTTGGACTTACCTAGTCGGACTATTAGTCCCAGGTAAACGTACTCGTCAACAACTTCGAGCACAGTGCTCCCAACAACTACCGGCATAGGTGAGACGTGGACATTAAACATGATCTTTGTTTTGTCCATGTTCATCTTAAGACCTATCCGTTGGGAGACACGATTGAGGTCATTGACCATAGTGCTAAGGTCCTCCAGCGATTCTACCATAAGGACTATATCGTCGGCAAATCGAAGGTGGATGATGTACTCACCATTGATGTTAATACTGTATCCTTTCCAGACTAGTAGCTTGAAAACGTCTTCCAACGCAGCGGTGAAGAGTTTCGGGGATACAACGTCACCCTGTCTTACACCTCTCTGCAGTTGGATAGGTTTCGAACTCTGGTTCTGTACTCGGATAGCCATCGTAGCCCTACTGTACAAACACTTCAGCATTTCGATATACCGACAGTCAACTTGGCACCGCTGAAGGGGCTGTAGCACCGCCCAAATTTCAACGGAATCAAAGGCTTTCTCATAGTCCACACACGCCAGGCAAAGTGGCAGATTGTACTCTTCGGTCGTCTTACAATCTGCCGGGTATGTATGTGGTCTGTGGTACTGAAGCCTTTTCGGAAACCGGCTTGTTCGGGAGGCTGGAAGTCGTCGAGTCTGCGTGCGAGACGATTCGTAATGACTCTCGAAAACAGCACGTAGACGCGGCTCAGAAGGGAAATCGGTCTGTAGTTCTTCAAGAGAGCGTTGTCGCCTTTCTTAAAGAATAAGACCACCGCACTTCTGCTCCACGCCTCCGGAGTAGTGCCACCATGGAGGACGGAATAGCTTCTGAAGGACTTCAAGTAACGGTGTTCCACCCACTTTCAGAAGCTCCGCTGTAATTCCATCCTCGCCTGGGGCCCTGCCGTTTTTAAGGTTCTTGAGAGCCATTCTAATCTCGCTGAGACTGACGTTCGGGATATCATCGGAATAGTGACGGATAAAGCTCTTGGATCGTTACTCACACTTGCGTGTGGCTCCAACGATGATGTGTACAGCTGCCCATAGAACCTCTCAATCTCACTCAAAATCTCAGGTGTCCCGGAAACGATGCTGCCACATTCAGTCTTCAGCTTTGACAGTTGGCTCTTTCTGGCAGACAGATCTCTGGCAAAGACTTTGGAGGCCTGGTTCCGCTCGATCGCTTCCTTAATACGAGCAGTATTAAAGTTGCGTAAATCTCGCCGCATGCATTTGCAGATCTGTCTGTTCAGTTGCCTGTATGCTGTCAAATCTGTTGACGATTGCAGCCTCATCTCCCGTCTAACAGCCATGAGATTAAGAGTGTGATCGGAGAGTTTTTGTGTTCTTCTGCGGCGGGTCTTGTAAAACTTAGCTCCGACCGCATGGAAAGTGTCAACGAGCTTGTCATTCATATCGTCCACTGCATTGCAATCTTCTAGGCACTGAAAGCGGTTACTTAACTCGAGCTGGAAAGTTTCGGGATTCTGGATTAGAGCACGAGGGGGACGGAGCGTTGACTTCATTAGACGTGTCATCTCAAACTTAACGTGTAGGTTCAGTGTGCCTCTGACCATTCGAGATCGCTGCCAGTTTTCACCCTTGCGATCACTGAGACATCACCGAACAGTTGGCGTCTGGTCGTCATAATGAAGACAATCTCATTTTTTGTCGAACCGTCGGGTCTCGACCAGGTCCATTTCCTGTGGGGCCGCTTCAGGAAGAAAGAGTTCATCATAAAGAGTCCCTCTTTCTCCATAAAGTCGGCCAGCTGCTGGCCCCATCGGTTCCGTTGCCCCACTCCAAATTTCCCTAACTTCAGCTCACCGCTTTCTCTTGTGCTTAGTTTTGCGTTGAAGTCTCCCATCAACACCGTGTAGTGGGTTTTGGAGGAATGCATTGCTCTAAATATCCTCTGAAATATCCTCATACATTTCCCCCGCCTCCTCATCGGGATGTGCCGAGGTTGGTGCGTAAACCCGTATGCCCTTCAGCAAATACCGTTTGGTGATTCTGAGTATCAGGTACGCGACCCTCGTCGACACACTTGCAATCTTTACAACGTTATTGACGAGAGACTTGTGGACGATAAATCCAACACCTCCTTGGGACAGATGGTCGCCCTCCCGGTGATAGAACAAATTGCCGGACTAGAGGATTACCGTGTCCTTCTCCTCTCCTCGGACCTCGGATAATCCAATAATATGCCAGCGCAACTTGTCTACCTCCCCTTCCAGCTCCAGTATCTTCTCGTCAGTTCTCAGGGTGCGTGCGTTGTATGTTGCCAGGTCGAGTCGTCGTAGGTGGCAACCGAACCTCCACTGGAGATTCTTAGCACCCCCTGCCCCGCCGTTGCCATGGTCGCCACCGTAACCAGGAATAGCGGGGCCGCCGGGGACTGGGGAACGTTTGTTTGCGTCGTTATTCATGGGGGATATTTGCCATAGTTGCCACGCTTGGCGAGCGGGTTGGCAACCGCAGTTTTTTATTATATCACAGTTGTCATCAGGAAGACGCTGCTGCCCATCTCCTGCGTGTCTCCCTCTGTCGCCTCTTACGACACCCACGGGAAGATATGGGGTATTGGATATTCTCAACAGCCACTACACGGCAGGCAAAATACAGGCAAATCTTTTACCAATACGTATTGCAGACAATTTTGCAAATAATTTTGACACTGCTGTGAAAGATATTTTGCCAACCTGCAACATAAATATATTAAAATATGATCAAAACAATCTACCAGTCAATGTAAATAATTGTAGCATGTACTTTAAGAAGGCAACACCAGATAGTGTAACTAAATTAATCAATAAGCTAAGTACTGATCATAGAAAACAGAAAAACATAGAATGGCATTGTGGGAGGGGCACGCATGCCACTGATTTGCCCGAACGGTCATATAAATCCCGAGACACGTGATCGCGCTCATAAGTCACTCACGAACGCTCTTACCGTGCGCAAGTGAAACGCGGCGACTAATTTTGACGAAAAATGCCTACTTGTGCTGTTATTAGTTGTAAAGCAAGGAGTGAAGTGTCGAGTGTAGCCAAAGGAGGAATTTCTTTTCATCGGTAAGTAAAAAAACTTCTCAAATTTACGGTTTTTAAGTCAAAATCTGTAAAATGTTATTAAAATTCTTAAAAATATACATTGCTGCCAAAGTACGCATACCATTTTTATAGTGTCGCTTTAGGCACGCAATGTAAAGGTGACACATTATTCTAGTGAAGAGACACGCACTCTGTAGCAATTTATCGATAAGTTTCAATTTCTTTTGGGTAGTAATCTTCTTTATTTTTGCTTATAAAAATAATTATTAATGGCATTGATCATTACGCTAAGCATTTTATCGATATCTTTATAGATTTGGATTCTTAGGTAAAAGGGAATGCCGGAAAGTGGCGTCTTTTTTATTTCGCGCGGCCATCAACCAAACCTTGTTATTCGGATTTTGGATTCATTTTGGATTAAAAAAGACTAAAGTATATACTAAAGTATATACTAAAGTATATACATATAAGGCATTTTGTTTTCTATAATATTTCAGTTTTCCTAAAAAGCCAGATATACGGAAACAGTGGATCGAAATTACTGGTCGTAAAGACTGGATTCCGACTAAATCAAGTACCATTTGTTCACAACACTTTAATGAAGATGACTTCGAGGTCAAAATTTCTAAGAAGAGATATTTAAAAAACGGTGCAGTACCACATGTACAAGTTGTGTACATTGTATGTTTATACTATTTTATAAAGTTATATTTTGTTCATAACTGTAAATATGTTCATATATTGTTGACAATATTTTTAGTTGATACAAAAGATTCTACTTTGTCACCACGAAAACATACTCAGAAGAACATAGGCAATGAAATAATAAACAAACGTGCTAAAGTTCAGGTTAGTTATAGATGGTACCTAACTAACACATTATTTTGCTGAGTTTCACTTTTATTGCTGTTACCAATCAACAAACTTCGTTTATCTTTCGTAGTTAAACTATTGTTTTAGCTTAATATACAGCACTGGTAGATCTTATTATATTGTTTTATTTTAGGAAATTGTAGATCCAATACTGACAACTTCTTCAACGGTAACGGTAATGGAAGAGAGTGCTAGTCAAACAATAAGGGATGTAGATCCAGTACCGTTAAACTCTTCAACAGTATTAATGGAAGAGAGTGTTAATCAACCAATTAAGGATATGGATCCTGTATCGACTAATTCTTCGGTATTAATGGAGGAGTGTTCTAGTATAGCAATACAGGTAACAACGGACTATGTAAAAAAAATTCAGTCCAGTGTTCCTTCCTTCATTGACTCCAATGCGTCAACGCCGAGAAAAAGAAGATTAACACGAATAATATCTTCTAAAGAAAATATCATAAAACACCAAAGAAATCAGATTAAAAGAATACAAGCATAAAATCGGCGATTAAAGAAAAAAATACATAAAATGGCAGATATAATAAATGACTTAGAAAAAAAGTTTTCACTAAAAGAAGAACAGTTAAGTGCATTGAGAGGCACAAATTTACAGGTGAAAGGTTACTCTTTAAACCGAATTTTTATTATTATTTAATTTTTTGTATGTATGTTACAGGATTCCTTCGGTTTTTACATCTCAATATATTTTTTGAATTAATTTGGTAAACAATTTTTATTTTATTTTGTAGGTTAAAGAATTGATTGGTCGGTACATATCAAAAGAAAAGCCCGGTGGAATTACAAAACAGTGTTATTCCCCAGCTCTCCAAACATTTGCACTTACCTTACATTACTATTCGCCCAAAGCGTATAATGACGTAAGAGATACATTTAAAACATGTTTGCCTCATGTACGTACTTTACGAAAATGGTATACAAGTGTAAAAGGAGAACCAGGCTTCACAGATGAATCCTTCAAAGCCCTTAAGGCAAAGTCAAATTCAATAAAATATCCAATCATAGCTGGTCTAATGATAGATGAAATGGCAATAAGACGTCGTATAGAATGGGACGGAGTAAAACTGCACGGGCATGTTGAGATCGGTAGCGGAATAGAAGGTGACCATATAACGGAAGCAAAGGAGGCATTAGTTTTTTTTAATGACTGGCGTTAACTGTAATTTTAAGGTGCCTATGGGTTATTTTTTGATTGACGGAATGACTGGAGTTCAACGAGCTGAACTAGTAAAACAATGTCTGGAAAAAATACATGAAACTGGAGTAAAAATTGTTTCTCTAACTTTTGATGGCTGTACCTCTAACATAGCTATGTTGAAACATCTGGGATGTAATTTTGAAAAGGGATAAATGAAATTTGAAGATCCGGTCACAAAATATCCAATTATGGCACTTTTAGATCCATCTCACATGGTTAAGCTAATACGCAACGCATTTCAGGTTTGCTATGACTTATGTAATTAATTTTAACTAATTTTTTGCTCACGACGTATTTGTTTGGAAATATTGATATATGTCTTCTTCTTGTCCCTGTCCTTATCCCAATTCATTAAGGATCTGCGCAACACGATTTATCTCTTTGGATTGGAGACACATATTGCATCAGGATTAGGCAATGGTTTTTACGGTTTTTTAAAGTGTGACGTTTCACGAAAATTGATTTCAGTTTTTGGCAAGTTGTCATATGTGTTATTTGTTATTTGATAATATTACAGGTCTACCAAGTGTTTGTTGACGAGTATGGCAATAAAATAAAGTGGTCCTACCTTGAGGAACTAAACAAGCACCAAGAAAAAGAAAAATTTCACTTGGCGAACAAGTTGAGATCGCATATACACTATCAAAATCAAAAGATGAAAGTTAAACTTGCCACCCAATTATTTAGTTTAAGCGTACGTGATGCCATAGATTTTTGCAGAGAAGAACTAAATTTACCAATTTTTCGTGAAAGTTTACCAACAACAGTTTTTCTCTCAACAGTGACTCTTGTTCAAACTGGAGAATTGGTCTTTTGTCCTTTTTATAAAACAAGCCAGGACCATCTGGAATTACTTTTTGGCAATATTAGATCTCATGGTGGATCTAATAACAATCCGACAGCCAGGCAGTTTAAAGCAGCATATAAAAAACTATTTGTTCACGTAGAACTCAAAGATTTTGGCAGTGGCAACTGTAATGCGCTTGAACAGTTATCTATTTTAACCTGCTCAGCTGTTGACCGGATTAATTTGACCACGCCGTCAACAGAAAAAGCTTGCGACGACGAATCAGACAATGAATTCCAAGAAGAAATGCTAGATCATTATTATTTGACAGATTTCAGTATGCAAGTTATAGGTAATTTTTTTTTCACAGATCATTTTTCAAGTTTTGATGGTAAATCTTACCCTTTGCATATTACAAAAGCTTATAAAAAAAATCTCGCAACTCAGTTCTACCGTAAAAAACTGTGAGATCCATGTAAAACCAAGTCGGTTAAATAAAAAGATTGACTTGGCCATCGCATGAAAACACAATGTATCTAACAAGTAATACACATTATATTAAATTAGATTGTTTAGTGCGATGGCCAAGTCAATATTTTTATTTAACCGACTTGGTATTACATGGATCTCACAACTTTTTACGGTAGAAGAACTAAGTTGCGAGACTTGGTTATTTTACAAGTTTTGTTTTTAAGGGATCTCATTTCTTTTTGTAGATAATTATATCTAGGTACCTATCTACACTTATTATTCCATTATACATATTACAAATACAGGTACACAGATTCGTTCGCTGAAAATGTAACTTTGTAATCCTATATATTTATATGGGATTACAAAGTTATTTGTGCAGTTGGTGTATCTAGAAAACTGGACCAAAAACGCAACATTTTTTAGTTTTTCCTTGATCTATACACTAAACACTAATTGTATTCTAAATTTCAAGCTTCTATGTCTACTAGAAGTGTCTTAGCCTTTTTGATGATCGGTCAGTCAGTCAGTCAGTCAGTGACAAAATTAAGAAATTTTGACTAGTTATAATTCTTAAGCTGCTGGTTCAAATTGAATGAAATTCGAAATATACCGTGTTTATACAATAATTTCAGGCTTCTAGTTTTATCCACGACAAAGTTATAGGGAGTCGAAAATGACCTGAATTGCTTCGAGAAAAGGATGGTACGGCCGATCACTTCACTACATGTATGTGTGGATGTGTGAGTGAGCACGCGCCGGATTAGTTCGCTCGATTTTGCCTGTCATTTGATTGGCTCTTTTATATATTTGATTGGCGTCTTTAATGCATGTATGAACGTGTACTTATATTTGCAAATGTAGTTGTGACAACAGGGTTCCGCCTACTGCCGACGCAGGTTCTCGTACAAAAAGTGTATTGGAGCCGTTCTAATGTCTTATTCCGTGTTCTGTGGTACTGATAAAGCTCCAGGTTTTGATTGCATTAGAATGAGAGATATCAAGAGTATTGTAAATATTATTTCAGAACCCTTAGCAAAATTTATAAAAACCTGTATTAAAACAGAGATGTTCCCCGATGAACTTAATGTGGGATGTGTGGATTGGTCTGGATAGTAAATTTAGAAGTGAACTTACTAAAGATAACAAAGTATAAATTAAAATGTTTTTACCCTAACAAATATTAGTTGTTATCCCCATTTTTGTAATAAATAGTATTATATAAGTGTAGACGGAACGGCACACAACACAAACCTGCGTGGTTTTTCGCTATGCCGCATAGCATTTTTATAAATTTTTATTTGATAATAAATAAAATAAAAAACCTTACTGTTAGGAAACCGTACCATGTATTGTAGCCAGAATTAAAAAAAAACGTAGTGGCTACAGCTGTGCTGTTAAAACTGTGTAAGCTAGGAGGCAATACGTCATATGGCCATTAATAAAAGCATGAAACATTAAATTTCGTCACTACTATACACAACAAACGCGCGCGCACGCGCATATGATATATATCATCATCATCACCATCATCACAGCCCTTCACAAGTCCACTGCTGAACATAGGCCTCCCCCAAGTAATGCCACAAAGCACGGTCCTGAGCCACCTGCATCCATCGACTTCCTGCATATCTTACCAGGTCGTCAATCCATCTAGTGGGGGGTCGCCCTTCACTACGCCTACCGGTACGAGGCTGCCACTCGAGAACCTTTCTTCCCCATCGGTTATCGGTTCTTCGAGCTATATGGCCGGCCCATTGCCACTTCAGCTTACTAATCCGTTGGGCTATGTCGGTCACTCTGGTTTTACTGCGGATATCCTCATTTCTGAGTCTATCACGCAGAGAAACTCCGAGCATAGCCCTCTCCATAGCTCGCTGAGCGACCTTGAGCGTCCTCATACGGCCAGCAGTGAAGGACCACGTCTCTGATCCGTAAGTCATCACTGGCAACACGCACTGGTTGTACACTTTAGTTTTCAGAGATTGAGGTATACCTGACGAGAAGATGTGTCTTAATTTACCGAACGCTGCCCAGCCGAGTTGAATCCGTCGATTGACCTCTCGGTCGAAGTTGGACTTACCTAGTCGGACTATTTGTCCCAGGTAAACGTACTCGTCAACAACTTCGAGCATAGTGCTCCCAACAACTACCGGCATAGGTGTGACATGGACATTAAACATGATCTTTGTTTTGTCCATGTTCATCTTAAGACCTATCCGTTGGAACACAACATTGAGGTCATTGAGCATAGTGCTTAAGTCCTCCAGCGATTTTGCCATAAGGACTATATCGTCAGCAAATCGAAGGTGAGTGATGTACTCGCCATTGATGTTAATACCGTATCCTTTCCAGTCCAGTATCTTGAAAACGTTTTCCAAAGCAGCGGTGAAGAGTTTCGGGGATATAACGTCACCCTGTCTTACACCTCTCTGCAGTTGGATAGGTTTCGAACTCTGGTTCTGCGCTCGGATAGCCATCGTAGCCCTACTGTACAAACACTTCAGCACTTCGATATACCGACAGTCAACTTGGCACCGCTGAAGGGACTGCAGCACCGCCCTAATTTCGACGGAATCAAAGGCTTTCTCATAGTCCACATACGCCAGGCAAAGTGGCAAATTGTACTCTTCAGTCTTCTGTACAATCTGCCGCAGGGTATGTATGTGGTCTACGGTACTGAAGCCTTTTCGGAAACCGGCTTGTTCGGGAGGCTGGAAGTCGTCGAGTCTGCGTGCGAGACGATTCGTAATGACTCTCGAAAACAGCACGTAGACGCGGCTCAGAAGGGAAATCGGTCTGTAGTTCTTCAAGAGAGCGTTGTCGCCTTTCTTAAAGAACAAGACCACCGCACTTCTGCTCCACGCCTCTGGAGTAGTGCCACCATGGAGGACGGAATTGAAGAGCTTCTGAAGGACTTCAAGTACCGGTGTTCCACCCGCTTTCAGAAGCTCCGCTGTAATTTCATCCTCGCCTGGGGCCCTGCCGTTTTTAAGGTGCTGGAGAGCCATTCTAATCTCGCTTA